GACAGTGGCATTCCTGTTTGAGGTGCAGTGATGTTTAAGGGCCCGGAAATCACGAGCATCCAGTAGTTTTACGGCCTTGAACCTTATGCACAGTGATTGTTCCAGATTCTCTGAATCTTTTGATGATGTTATGCACGGTTGATGATAACTTAAAAGTCTTTGCTATTTTACGCTGGGTAACACCATTCTGGTATTGCTGCACTATCTTTCTGCGCAACAATGGTGGAATTGGTGATCCTCTTACCATCTTGGCTTCTGAGAGACACTGACACTCTGAGAAGCTCTTTTTATACCCAATCATGTTGTCAATTGACCTAATTAGTGTTAATTGGTCTTCCAGCTGTTCGTTATATGCTCAATTTCGTTTTTCCAGCCACTTTTTGCTACTTGGCCCCTTTTTTTGGGATTTGTTGACACTGTGAAATTTTGAATCAACATATTTTTCCTTTAAAATGTTACATTTACTCAGATTAAACTTTTGACCTGTCATCTATGTTATATTACGAATAAAATATTGACATTTGATTTGCCATCTCCACATCATTGCATCCAGTTTTTATTCACAATTTGTTTAGTGTCCCAACTTTTTTGGAATCCAGTTTGTAGATTTCAAGATGAGTGTTTTTCTGGACTAGAATTAACAGGGAATGAAAGTAAACAATGTTTTGTTTAAAGATATTGGGAGTTTTTATTCAACACCAGGTGCAGTGGTGGCCTTGACCAACATAGATTAATCTGCAGCCACTCCAATCATTTGAGGAAACTTTAAAGCAACTGAAAAAGTAGAAAGTATCAAGTGATAAGGTGGATATGTCTGTGGGTTTACATTTATATGGTGGCAGCCATCTTGGTTTTTGACATGGCAACCCAGTTTTCAATAGTGACCGTTCTGACGCTGAGATGCAGCCACACATCAAAATGGAAGTCAGTCACAACACAGAAGGATGGAGGGTCCACTTTGCTCCTCGATGGGGGACAAAAATAAAAAGAGATCAAGAATGATGGAGTCCATAACCTGCAGGCCAAACCCCAGTTCATGGTACGGTGGGAGTGGTTTTTAACCATCAGATTGACTTAGTCACACCACATGGCAACTTTCAAACATCACTAGAGAGCAGACGAGTGGAGCTGAGAGCAATCATTTATTGTAGTCTGAAACCTTCATCACCTCTGCTCTGGATTACACGTGACTGAAGAGTAAAATCAAAGACACACCAGAATGAAGTGACTGCAACAACTGGAGTCAACAAGCTGCTGTTTCTGTCTCAAAAGGGAATAAAGTTTGACATGATTCTGGAAAAAAACACGTGAAATTAGTTCATTGGAAGCATTAGATGAAGAACCATCAGTAAGAGCCTCGTGTGATGAGAACCTTCTGGCACCACCCTCAGTCTGTGCTACGATGTGGGCTTAACTACGCTCAAGTTTTTATTGAACCCACTTCATGATGCTCAAATGTTCATGAGTCACTGCTGGCTAACTACAACCACACGTTTACCACGTCCAAGTGGAAAGGTTGCCAACAGTCAACATCTTACATGTTACAGATAGCCCTTTGAGTAACATCAGCTCAAAGAGTTTACGTGATTGGACTAACGAGCTGAGCTTCAAACAGCTCCCATGTGTTCCTGCAAACGTTTTTCCATTCTGCAATTAGCTATGGCTACAGTTCTCACACTTTTAGAGTTTTGACCTCAGAAATACACGAAGCAGTTGTGTCCCAGAAGTGAACAAACGAACCACAGAACAAGGACGTTTCATAAAGAACCAATGAGAACTCATTTCAGGACACGGCTAGTTTCATGAACCGTGGGTGAGGGGACTCCACCATGTAGCACTGCTGTGCTACAGCTAGCTGCAGGAAACCGTAAAGTGTGGGTAAATAGCTGTGTAATGTGAAACTGATGCTCGTCGATGTGTCCGATTTTAACCAGGCAGGAAGCACCTGTGGTTTGACCCCCCCGTGGACAGGAGGTCATTTCTTCAGCTTAGAGTGGTGACACTTTAGAGGTTGGAGGAACAGTGATTGTGCAAACTGCAAAATTCATTCGAACAACAGAACTCTAATATTTAACTTCATCCTTAAAAAAAAACCATTTATTTCACGTTCTATCTCTGGTCCGTAGTCATTCCCATCAGGCTGTTGTTGTTTTGTCCACTTTCAGGGTATGGAACAATAACCCCCACAGGCCCGGCCTCTGCCTTGATCCTGCCCCCCCAGCTGGACCTTCTGACCCTGGTTGTCACTCTCCCAGAGTCCTGGAGTCTGGAGGATCTTCTCCACTAGCTCTTCAAAGGCACACTGGACGCCATCTTTGGTCTTTGCACTGGCCTCTGAAGAAGAAACAAAAAAAAGATGGAAAGATTTCAATTTCCATCTTCCAGAAAGCAGAGAAGAAACAACAATCCTAACTTCCTTATTGACTTCTGGACGCAGTAGTGCCAGAGTTTTATTGGATCTTACTTACACTTCATGTCTGCTGCTCTATTGCCCCTTTTCCATTAGTACCTGTAGTACTGGTACAGCACGGCTCTACTCTACTCGGTACGATACACGTTCTGTTTCCATTATGCTTTCAGTACCTGTTCCAATGGGCGGGGTTCAAATTGACATCACCAACTCTCACCAGCTGGTGACGCTGAGACCCTGAAACTGTACTGATACATATATACAAACCGGATTCCAAAAAAATTGGGACAATAAACAAATTGTGAATAAAACTGAATGCAATGATGTGGAGATGGCAAATGTCAATATTTTATTCGTAATATAACATAGATGACAGGTCAAAAGTTTAATCTGAGTAAATGTAACATTTTAAAGGAAAAATATGTTGAGTCAAAATTTCACAGTGTCAACAAATCCCCAAAAAGTTGGGCCAAGTAGCAATAAATGGCTGGAAAAAGGAAATCGATCATATAACAAACAGCTGGAAGATCAATTAACACTAATTAGGTCAATTGACAACATGATTGGGTATAAAAAGAGCTTCTCAGAGTGTCAGTGTCTCTCAGAAGCCAAGATGGTAAGAGGATAACCAATTCCACCATTGTTGCGCAGAAAGATAGTGCAACAATACCAGAATGGTGTTACACAGCGTAAAATAGCAAAGACTTTTAAGTTATCATCATCAACCGTGCATAACATCATCAAAAGATTCAGAGAATTTGGAACAATCGCTGTGCGTAAGGGTCAAGGCCGTAAAACTCTACTGGATGCTCGTGATCTCCGGGCCCTTAAATGTCACTGCACCTCAAACAGGAATGCCACTGTCAAGGAAATAACAGAATGGGCTCAGGAATACTCCCAGAAAGCATTGTCAGTGAACACAATCCACCGTGCCATCTGCCGTTGCCAGCTGAAACTCTACAGTGCAAAGAGGAAGCCATTTCTAAGCAAGCTCCACAAGCTCAGACGTTTGCACTGGGCCAGGGGTCATTTAAAATGGAGTGTGGCAAAATGGAAGACTGTTCTGTGGTCAGATGAGTCACGATTTGAAGTTCTTTATGGAACACTGGGACGCCATGTCATCCGGACCAGAGAGGACAAGGATAGCCCAAGTTGTTATCAACGCTCCGTTCAGAAGCCTGCATCACTGATTGTATGGAGTTGCATGAGCGCATGTGGCATGGGCAGCTTGCATGTCTGGAAAGGCACCATTAATGCAGAGAACTATGTTCAGGTTCTAGAACAACATATGCTCCCATCTAGACGTCATCTCTTTCAGGGAAGACCCTGCATTTTTCAACATGATAATGCCAGACCACATTCTGCAGCAATAACAACATCATGGCTACGTAGGAGAAGGATCCGGGTACTGAAATGGCCAGCCTGCAGTCCAGATCTTTCACCTATAGAGAACATTTGGCGCATCATAAAGAGGAAGGTGCGACAAAGAAGGCCCAAGACGATTGAACAGTTAGAGGCC